GCGAAATTTGGCGTATTGTGAAATCAGTAAATAGAAATTCAACTACCAATAAAGCTCCGATTACCAAGGATTTGGTTGAAAAGCTCTTGGACAACTTTGCACCTCTGTCAGTGGCAGCAGCACCTTTAGCAAATGCTCATAACTTTAGTCAAAATCATCAGACCCTCATTGAAAAACCATTCACTTTCAAAGAACTGGAAACATGTCTCAAGGATAACAGAAATACTTCACCTGGAATATACAGGTTTACCTATGACATTCTACATTACTTGCCAGATTCTGTTAAATTTCTGCTCCTTCAACTTTTCAACGAGTGGTGGACAAAGCACTTGTTCTTAGAACAATTTAAAACTATAATCATATGTCTAATACTAAAGCCGGGTAAAGAGCCAGGATACATGGACTCGTATAGACCCATCTCACTTTTATCCTGCATAGTAAAAACTTTTGAACGCATGATCAAGCTTAGACTAGAATTCTATCTCGAAAGCAAAAAGCTGTTACCGATCTCTCAGTACGGTTTTAGAAGAGGTTGTGGAACTTTGGATGCCGTGACCCAGCTAGTTTTAGACGTGCAACTTTGTTTCTCTAGAAACCATTACTTACTATGCTGGTTCCTGGATTTCAAGGGTGCATATGATTCTGTAGATTTCGGAATTCTTATGGAAAAAATGATACAAAATGGCATATCTGGGAATTCTTCAGCCAGTATAATAGAGCTCTTCAAGGACAGAACTATTTACATAAGAGATCACAGAAATGAATTGCATGGTCCTAGGATGGATTACAATGGGTTACCGCAAGGCTCATCTCCCAGCCCTATCTTATTCAATTTGTACACAACCGACATCCATGGCATATTCGACAAGGAGGTGCAAGTCATACAATACGCGGACGATATCTGTATATATATACACCATTCGTATGATTATTGCCTTCAACTGTTAGAAAAAGCGATTGGTAAGGTAAAGAATTGGTTAGTAGAGGTGAACCTTCAGCGGTCCAATGAGAAGTCCGCGATAATGTGTTTTACCAGGCACCGGATCGTGCTTCCTAGTCAGCTCGAGTACGGTGACGTTGTTATTCCCGTAGTGCAGGATTACAAATACTTAGGTATAGTACTGGATTGCAAACTCTAATGGGGCAAGCATATCCAATACATAAAATCCAAAGCCGAGAGAGGGATCAACATTCTTAAGTGCACTACAAAAAAAAAATGGGGTGCAGACCCAGAAATAGCACTTATTGTTACCAATCATATGTTCGATCTTTGTTGGACTATGGATGTGTGCTATATGGTTCAGCAGCTAAGTCCCACTTACAAAAACTTGATCGTGTACAGCAGCAAGCTTTGAGAATTTGCATGGGAGTCATGAGATCGTCACCTAGTCCTGCTGTTCTAGCCGAAGCAAAGGAACCTCCGCTCACTTTGAGACGGCCGTACTTTGCAGAGAGTACGGTTGTAAAGTACAGGTCATGTAACAAATTTCTGTTGGACAAAATATCACAATTAACATCAGAAGACTTCACTAATAGCTTCTGGGCCAAGAAAGGCTCACCTATGCTGGCTGAGGCTTTCGTGGTCACTTGTAATCTCTCGAATTATATACACCCGGAAGATAAATATCCTTTATATAATTGTACGTATGAAGTATTTTTGAATGAAACAAGTATCCTAACACCCACGTATACAGAAAACCCTGACTATAATAGATCAGTTCTATCAACCGTACTGGCAGGTCTTAATTGCCAGACTGTAATTTTTACCGATGGCTCTAAAAGTGAGATGGGCAGCGGCTGTGCATTCTACGTTCCACACCCTAATCATTATACCAGCTTCCATATCCCTGACTTTTGTTCGATATTTACTGCGGGAGCTTTTGCAATCCGTCAAGCGTTAACATGGTGCTTGGAGCAAGGTATCTCTCATGCCGCAATTGCTACAGATTCTAGATCTGTCTTAGAGGCAATTAGAAGTAACCCTATCATGTTAATATGTGACATTAGGAAGTTGCTTGTAACTGGCAAAGCCAAAAGAACACATATAAACTTTGTATGGGTTAAAGGGCATGCTGGCGTTAGGTGCAATGAAAAGGTAGACAAGGCTACAAAAGACGCTACGACCTTGATAATATCACGAATGTTGCCCCAGCTTACTCTGATTTATTCATAGAAATTGAAGAGAACATCAGAAAGAGATGGAACTTGATCTGGTCCGATTTTGTGTCGAAATCTCACAACCACTACTGCACCCTAATCTTCCAAGAAATATCCGCACATAGATACATTTTATCCAAATAGAGAGTTCTCGTCCACCATAACTAGACTAAAGCTAAATCATGGCTGTTTCCCTGCCCACCTATATAGAATAGGTGTGAGAGATTCCCCACTGTGTAGCTGTGTTGGTGATTCTATAGCGGATCTAAACCACATATTTTTTGCAAGTAAATTTCATTCTAACTTTTCCGATCAATTCATACAACAAATCTTGCAACACGGTTTGGAGCTACCATTAAATATCACTACCATTTTAGCATCTTTCGATAAATCTATCTATACTTTGATAATAAAAATTTTAAAAACGATAAAGTTATATATATGGTGGTCTTTATCCTTTTGTGGCAAATGGACACCAGGTTCCGATGCCATTCGCTACGTACACACACACACACACACACACACACATACTACAATGTGTAGGTTGGCTCTTGTTGTGGACTTGGTGTGTCGTTTTTTTCCTCTCCATCTTTGATTCCTTAGGTTACACCCGTATCCGGATGTGTGGGCATGTGTATCTACTTTTGTAGTTGCATATGTGCATTCATTTCGGGCCTGATGAAGCCAACCAGCAGAAATACGTATCGCTTGGGTTACCTATCCTATTTTCTGCTCCCATCCACTTTCCTACTTTTTGCTAATTTTGCTCATTATTTTACTAATTTATATACAGGGTGGCCCATCCATGTGTGGACGGAGTACTACTCATAAACAAATACATTTTGGAAAAATCTATTTATGGGATGTCATACATGACATTTAAGGACACATTTCTAAAGTATTGGCCATTATCCAATTTCGACCTACATATCAAAGTTGTGATTTTTCAAATGGAATGCCTCAATGCCTCCCACAGCAATAACGATGGATATTGACTATAATTATGATACCCTTCAATCATTCAACTTACACAACTGTGGACAACTCTGTTTGAGAATTCTATATAATGTCAGTTCAATGTTCACTTAGTGAGCATTATAGTTTCTTTCCAAACGCATATATCATGTCAATGACACTCACTCTATCTGACAACAGCTCCATTCTTCAGTCCGACTTTAATCTCCTAATATATCTTTCAGATGAAGATGAGATAAAGTAGGCTTATGTAACTTTGAGTCATTCAACGTCAGTCCTAATATCGATGACGCCAACAAAACTTTTGAATATTCTACCATTTTTAAATCAACCGGCACTAAGAGAATATAATATTGTTTTAGAATTCTCAGATTCTGAAGCTCCAAATTTAAAAACTAGGGAGTCAGATGTCCAGAGAGTCCATAAAATAGAGCAATCGGAGCAGATTTTTTATGCTCTAGGATCGAGACCGTACAGGATAATGCCTTTTATAAAAAGGTTTATCCAAGGACCAACGAGAAGAATTGGTGACAAAGTTTAAAATACCTTCAAATTATAAGGCTTTGCAATCTCCTCAAATAAATAATGAAGTTCAACCATGCCTAATAAAATCTGTTCTTGAACACGATTGTTTTATGAGAGCCTTACGACAACAGTTGGCTCACGTTCTGTCAGCAGTAGGCGTGTTATTGAGACTATGATGTCTAATAAAGAACAAGCCGATACCATGAAATCATTGGCAGAGGCCTGCCAGTTATTACTAACGTTCACCATGGGCTTTCAGTTCACCGTAGATTTAATATTATACCACATTTAAATCAAGAATGTAAGAAGTTGGTAGATAACTTGGAAATAGATGATTTTTATTCAATACAAAATTCGCTGAAACAATGAAGAACGAACAGGCAATAAAAAGGCCAGTACTGATTTTAAGAAGAAAACTTGGCACTCCAATTTTATTGGACCTTCAGGATCTGGGACATCAAAAAGTTATCATTTAAACTACCGGCGTGCACTACCAAAAGGAAGAATGAAAGAGAAGATGAGAGGAGAAGAGAGAAGACCATTGGAAAAACAGAGGAAGTTCAGAAGAGACCCCAAGAAGTAATATCACCAGAAATAACTGCTAGAACAAAAGTGAGTAATCACGCTGGTAGACTTTCACTTTTTCTACAGGGTTGGAAAAATATTACAAGAGACCGAGCGGTCTTGGATTGGATTACAGGAGTTAAAATACCCTTTTTTAAAAGGCCTGTGCAGTTTTTTGAGCCGTCTGTAGAAATCCCAATTCAACCTTTCCAAGAATATAAAAACTCTATTCAGGAATTGTTAAGAATGTGTGCTATTGAAAAATGTAGTTCTCTAAAAGGACAGTTTCTATCATCTTACTTCTTAGTTAAAAAGCCTTGTGGTACATACAGATTTATTTTAAATTTAAAAGCACTTAATAAATTTATTATTGGTTATTATCTCTCAAAGATTGATTTAAAGGATGCATATTTTTTAATTTCAGTTATCAAAAAGTACAGGAAATACCTACGATTTAAATTCGAAAATTACCTGTATCAGTTTAAATCTTTACCATTTGGTCTTCATATAGCACCAAAAAATGTAAAAAATTTGTTTCATGCTTTCCAGACCCTGAGTCGTGGGCATTAGATGCCTTTACAATGAATTTTTTCTTTTATGCTTGTCCTCGCTTTTCAATAATTACAAAGGTGTTAGAAAAAATTGTACAGGAAAAAGACTTAGGAATTTTTGTTGTACATTAGTGGCCTACGCAGGCATGGTATCCGCTATTCAGTAAGCTACTATTGGGAGAACCTGTTTATGTTTACCTATGAATCTCTACTAATCTCTCCTTTCAGAGACTATCATCCTTTCTACAGGGAGATTTCTCTGGTAGCAGGGAAATTATCCGGCAGTCTTATATAAAGAAAGGAATTCCAGGGAGTGCAATAGAAGTAATCACTGCATCTTTAACAAAGGGTACGCTTAAACAATATACAGCTCGTTTCAAAAAAATTTGGCAATTTTGTAACGGCAATAATAGAGAGCCTTTTGTTTATAATCTACAGACTTACTTGAATCTTTTATCCGATAACTGCAATAAAGGACATTCATTTTCAGTGCTAAATTCTTATAGGTCAGCTCTGAATTTAATTTTTAGTCCTATAAACAATAGCGATGCGAAAATTATGAATCGTTTTGTCTAATATTCGACCACCACAGGCTAAATATAAAATACCTTGGAATCCTGACCGAATTTTAAATTACCTAAGTCCATTATATCCCCTGGAAGCGTTGGATTTAGAATACGCAACATACAAACTTGTCACACTTATGGATTTAAGATGAGCCAGCAGAGTTGAAACGCTGTCTCTTATTGAAGTCCAAAACATTACAATATCATCAGATAAAATAAAAATTAAAATACCAGATTGGGTAAGGGCCCAACCGCTACTTGTTTTTCCTTTTTTTAGAACTAAACATGAACTTTGCGTAGCCTCTGCTATCGAAGACTACATTAAAAGAACTAAATCATTTCGTAATACTGAGGAAATATTAATGCTTACACACAAAAGAACATATCATCCTGCATCTCCGCAAACAATAAGTCGATGGATTAAAAAACCTTACACTTAGGAGGTGTAGACACATCAGTTTTCTCAGCGCATAGTGTACGCCACGCTACAACATCTGCTGCACTTGAAGCAGGCGTAAACATAGATGTAATTAAAAATTCAGCAGGTTGGACTCCTGCCTCGAATACCTTTTTAACTTTTATAATAGGCCTGTAGAAGAGCCTCAAACTGCTTTTGCCAATGCTATTGTTCAATTAGGATCTAAATAATTATTAGTATTCTATTTATCGTTTATCTTAATTATATTGTAGGTACATATGTATATGTGTGTATGGGTATATATGTATGTATATGTTTACATATGTATATTTATATAATGAGTTTTCTTTAAATATTAAGCTAAAATAAGTGAATCTCAATTAATTTCACGAGTGTTATACCTTAGAGGTGTAATAACCAGTAACAACAGTAATTTGTAATATTAAAAATTGCCTTTTACTTTGAACATCTACGTGGTAATTATATCAAGGACAAGCGAAGGAAAATTTAAAGATTAATCGACTTACCTGAAGGAAGATGAATCATAATTTTCTGAGCTTGTCCGAAGATCTAATTACCCAACCCCTCCATATATACCCCAAAAGGTGGGCAATTTCTTTCAGGTACTCCAACGGAATGACTGGGCATGTAATGGTACGGGCCCGGCCGCTGGAGCGGGGAGGGAAAACTAGATGTTTTCATACGTAAACGGTTCGTGCTGATGAGTAGGTTTATTCGGAAACTACATGGTAATCATATCTTCGGATAAGCTCGGAAAATTATGATTAATCTTCCTTCAGGTAAGTCGATTAATCTTTAAACTTTCAGACATTACTGATGCAATAAAAAAAGGCTTCCGGCTGGATTGGAATTGACACTAACTGCTTACAAGTCTACTTCAACAGTTTTTTAAAGGCTGACTTTGATTCATGCACCATTATACTTTAGGCCGCATATTGGGTTTTCTACCTCAGACTTTACAAAGGGACACTCCCTATGATTCGGACTTCGCAGTAGAAATCTTTAAAGTCAATGCACTCTGTATAGATTGTAGCATCGCAACAGAGTCTTTTAGCAATGGTCAACATGGTAACCATTAAAGTAGTTAATCAAAACAACAGAATTGTAAATTTCAGAAATGAGACTATTCAACCGCTCCAAAGCGAACCTATAAAAACAAGCTTCGCAGCATATAAATATATTAGTGCTGCATTAGCCAACGTCAGTACACATCAGCCAACGTCAGTACACATCCTCGATACTAAGCGCATCGTTTGACGAAGGAAACCAGAGAGTTTCTAAAGTCGCTGAGATTTCAAGTGATTTAACATGAGTATTTTAAACGTTACTGAAAAGTCTCTTGTTGACACCTCCATCACTGAAATGGAGTATCAAACATATCATTGCTGCATTAATGCCAATTCTGGTTATAGCGATGAAATCAGGATTGCTATTCAAGGGTTGGGTACTTATTCCTTAGCTTCTCAAGGCTACCTCTACCTGAAGGTAACTCTTACTAAAGCTGATTGTACTAAGCCTGCGAAGTTTAAATTTGTTAACATTACACCTAGCTTTTTATTATATATTATGAAGATTAAAATTAACCACTCTTTTCCCCTAATGAATTTGGACTTAATGGACAATAACATCACATACATTTGACTGGTCCAAACAGAAGTATTCAATCTGGATCGGTTAGGAGACTTTAATTTGGATCAACTAAAAATGAGCGCTCAAACACCTCCGCATATTGCCTTATACGCCACGATTGTCTCTTCTATTATAACCCTTTGACAAAGATTGTTAAACAACGTTAACATCAGGCTAACTATAAACATGCTCGCATCCCAATCCAACATTTAATTTGATAATGAGGATCATCTACCTCAAAGCTCTCAGAAAACACTTGTATAACCTTAAAATGTTGAGTTGCGTCATATAGCCCTATTGCTTAAAACAACGTGTCTTCTCCCAGTTTGCTTCCTTCAAAATATAAGTCTAGTTTTAGATATTCAAGGTTTCAAAATTCAACATAATGAGTTTACTGTGAAAGAACTTGCTGCGTTTGATCGTGAAAAAATTTGTCACTATATATTCAAACCCCCTTTTCCACTGGATCTATTCCCCTCTGATCTACAAAAGCAGGCTACATGGTTGTTGGAACACAGAGTTCACTCCACTACACACCTTCTAGACAATCATATCCGAAATAACTACTCATGCAGACCGCATGCTTGTGATAGGAGAAGAGAAAGACAATTATTTAAAAACGTTTTCCTCGGTTCAGTAGTCAAACTTGCAGAGCATTCTGGTTTGGAACCCGCTACCACAACATGTTTTTATCACTCACAGACTATACCTATGTGTGCACTATCTAATGTCTTTAGTCTATATGACAACTTTGTAATGTTATATTTTTTTCAGATAAAACAATTATCAGGATGGAGTAGTTTTTTATTCTTTGAATTGTTAGCAGATAATGGTGCAACGGATTTATACAAAGCAAGCAACTAATGTACAGATTCGAGTAATACGAGTAAGTAAGCTTACGCAACATCCGAAACACATTTTTGCATGCGAGTTCAACCCTGTAGCACACAAAATCTTTCCAGAAGGTTCTCAAATCTTCTTAGTGTCACTCAACGACACGGCTCTTACGCATGTTTATGTTATACATTCCATTCCTTCTCTGGGTACTTGTTCCCAGGATAAACTTCCTTAAAGATACGGGCGTGGCTCGCATCGCAGTTCAAATAGTCATCGCTTCTCAGACCAAGTAGTTAGCATTGTGGACCTAATTACAATGTTGATGTGCTATTGGATGTAGTGTTTTGGTTACCTGAAAGGTGAGCAATCACTGAGTATTCCCTTTATTCTGCTGTAGTGCATGGATTGATAACTATAACACTTTTATATTCATGATCATGAATGTCGTAAGCTTTAATCGCATAGCCCTATTTATAAAGATAGTTTGAGCATATTCATCTTTACAAAGATGCTTTGATTATATATCCATAACTATATCGGAACCCGATTGCTGGGTTTATGTGGTTATGTTAATTACTGCTCGGTTTTCTCTATCAGGGGAAGCGTCGGAGCGCTTGGGATGTTGACACAATGGCCTTTGGCCGATGTGGCATCCTGGGCCTGAATGACCGCTCAATCATCTTTCTTGGCAATCGCTGGCATCTGAATGTATCTCATGGCAGGATATGCGTAGGGATTGTTATTTTAAAGCTTGTCATCTTGCTCGGTTATCTCCGATTAAGAGGTAATGTCGGAGCCTTTGGATATTGAAACAACAGCCGTTGGCCACCGTGATATCCCGGATTCTGGACTGCTTTTCGTAACAATCGTTAAACTCAGCATATCTGTCTATACGCCTGGGTATCAACATAGGGTGCTGTGTGCTTAAAACTATGTTGATCACATAGGCTGCTGTGTGCCTAAAATTGCCTAAGTGGAGGACTGTGTGTCCATGAGGGACTGTGTGTCCCAGGGGGCTGTGTGCCCCCGCTCTTAGGGTCTGCGGACCAGCATACGATAAATGTAGGATACGAACGAGATATGATAATAGCAATATAACGATAAACGTGAAAACATTTTAGAAGTACCGCCCCGTACCATTTCATTATTACTATACTAAGTGACATATAAATCCGAACACCCAGTTTAAATGGTTTTATTTTAATAAAATTTTGTATAAGTACTTAATGAAGCATAATAAGTAAATGATAAAAATTTCAAAATGATTGCACTGCTTTAAAGCCCTTTGAACTTTAATAATGTGTGGATGCACCCTGATGTGCTACGCATTCTACAACGCGCCTAGGCATGCTTCTGATCAGGTGGTCAATGTCCTCCTGTGGTATCTCATTCCAGGCAACCACCAACTCCTCTCGAAGTGCTTCTAGAGTCTGAGGAGGACGTTGCAAATTGAGCAATCTCCTACCCATCATATCCCACACGTGCTCAATTGGGGATAAGTCGGGAGATCTTGGTGGCCATGGTAACAATGTGACATCATTCTGTTGAAAGAAGTGTCTATTGTGACTCTTGCAACATGTGGTCGGGCATTATCTTGTTGGGAAGTTGGATCTGCCAGGGTGTCAAGGTAGGGTAAAAGATGGGGTTCTAGAACTTCGTGGATATAACGCTGCGCGTTCATGTTACCTCTGATGAAGATTAAAGGTGACCTGGAACCATAAGCTATAGCACCCCAAACCATAACTCCAACAGTGCGATGAACATGTCTTTCAACAAAAAACTGTGAATTCCTCCTTTCACCACGTCGCCTTCTAACCCTGGCACGACCATCGTGCATGCCTAAACAAAATCGAGACTCGTCACTAAAGACAATACTGTTCCATTCCTGATCCCAGAGTGACCGTTGTCTGCACCACTCAAGGCGATTACGTCGGTATTCTCGAGTTAAGGGGAGGACCCAGTGTGGCCGGTATGAAAACAAGCCAAAACTTCTCATTCGTCGGTAAATACTTCGCATGCCAATAGGTCTTCCGTGTTCTGCAAACCATTCATTTGCAATGGACCTAGTAGTGGAGAAACGGTCCCTTAAGGCCAATAATCTTAGGCGGCGATCTTCACGGTCTGTTGTTCTACGGCGGCATCCAGTGCCCTTGCTCTTTGCGTACGGCCTTCTCGAAGCCATGCCTGACAACACCTAACCACAGTGTCTACACTTCTTTGCACTCTAACTGCAATTGCCCGAAAAGAAAGTCCAGCTTCCCGAAGTCCCACTATACGGCCCCTATCAAACTCACTAAGTTGACGAAATCGTACAGGTCTCCGTACTCTAGGCATCGTAACCGATCGTAAAGGATGTCAAGAACCAAAATCCGCCAACGTTGATTCTTTACTGCGGCTGAAATATTCATTTTTAGAGCGTTAGTGAATTAAAAAAAAGCAGTATAAAAACCGGAATGTCCAACTGATAAGGCTGAAATTTTTTTCACTTGTTATTTACAGTAAGATAAATACATTGACCAACTTTTATTAAAATAAAACCATTTAAACTGGGTGTTCGGATTTATATGTCACTTAGTATACATGGGCAGTACGTGAACAATTCGATATGGGCAACGTCAGGGTAATATTAAAGTCACTTACTTGGTGACGAAACGACAATGAGTTATCCTAGTTTGGCAAGCGATAAGGGCGATATGGTAGGATTGTCGAGGTCAACACCTATTTTTAGAAAAAGACATATATCACTCATATTCAACCTCATGACATCATATGCACATATCTGCTATTTACCACTACATTAGTGTACCCAAACTACTAGTAAGGATTCGTCACACTGAGCCATGGGGTCAACACACAGACTGATCCGGACTGTCACACAGACTGATCCTGACCGTCACACAGACTGATCATTAAGTCGTCACATAGACTGACTAGGAGCCGTCACACAGACTAACTCGTTAGTCGCTAGGTGTATGGAAAGACGTTTAACGATTGTTACAAAAAAGACAGTCCAGGAAGCCCGTATCTTTAAGAAAGTTTATCCTGGGAACAAGTACCCCGAGAAGGAATGGAATGTATAACATAAACAGGCGTAAGGACCGTCGCGTTGAGTGCCACTAAGCAGACTTGTGAGCCTTCTGGAAAGATATTTTGTGCTACAGGGTTGAACTCGCATGCAAAAATGTGTTTGAGATATTTCGTAAGCGTACATTGGGCCATCCGACATTCACCTCGCCCCGAGGTGATCATTCGCTGCCCGATGACTCTAGAAGTGGGACTCCATCGTCACCACTTTCGCTACCCGTGTCGTCCAAAATACCTCCTGGTGTACACCAAGGTTTCATCTTGTCCACCGCAACCATCCTCTCGGTACGGTGCGATCCCCCCATGTCCGATACAACATAGCTATCGTTAGGCAAAGCCGCTTTAACGACCAATGGGCCGCTATAAGGTGACTGTAGTTTCCGACGCGCCCCCGTAGCAGGATTCTAAGTCGCCCGGTCTATATTTCCGCGGAGCCTTCCGCTTC